ATCATCGTGCCACTCGGCCGGCCCGAGCTCATGTGGTTTTTATCTTTCTTTGTCTGACTTAGCTCACTTAGCATAATGCCCTCAAAAGTCCATCCATGTTGTTGCAAAAGGCAGGATTTCCTTTTTAATGGCTGAATAGTGTGTGTGTGTGTGCGCGTGTGTATGTGTATCACCTTTTTAAAAAAATAATAGCCACCATAATGATTGTGAGGTGATGTCTCTATACTTTGATTTTTATTCCCCTCGTGATTAGTGATGTTGAGCCTCATTTTATGTATTTAAGTCTTTTTTGGAAAAATGTCTATTCAAGTCCTTTGCTCATTTTTACATTGAGTTGTTTTTAAATTGTTGAGTTGTACAAGTTCTTTATATATCCTGGGTATTATTCCTTTAACAGAGATATGATTTGTAAATATTCTCTCCTATTCTGTGGATTTCCTTTTCACTCTGTTGATAGAGTCCTTTTTTTTTTTAAAACTCATTCTTTTTTTTTTCTTTTTTAAGATTTTATTGGAGAATTGGGGAAGGGAATAGCCAAGTTGTTGTCCTTTAGTCTTAGTTGTGGAGAATGCAGCTAGCTCAGCTCCAAGTCCAGTCGCCATCCAACTGCAGCCTCTCAGCTCAAGGTGCTGTGTTCAGTCTTACTTGCGGGTTGGCATAGCCCACCCTATGCAGGAGTCGAACTGGAAACCTTGTTGCTAAGAGTGCACGCTCTAACCACTGAGCCATCCGGCTGCCCATCAGCAGCTCAGCTCAAGGTGCCGTGTTCAATCTTAGTTGCGGATGGGCATAGCCCACCATCCCATGTGGGAGTCGAACCAGCAATCTTGTTGTTAGGATCACGTGCTCTCACCAGCTGAGCCATCCTGCCACCTGTTGGCAGCTCAGTGGCAGCTCTGCTTGGGCGCAGCTCACTGGCCCATGTGTGAATCAAACCAGTGACGCTGTTGCTCAGAGCTCGCACAATTGAGCGAGCTCTTAACCAACTGAGCCACTCGGCCAGCCCCAAAAGTTTTTAATTTTGATGAAGTCCAATTCATCTATATTTTATTTTGTTTTCTGTGCTTTTGGTGTCATATCCAAGAAACCATTACCAAATATGGCGTCATGAAGCTTCCCCCTGTGTTGTAAGAGTTTTATAGGTTTAGCTCTTAGGTTTAGGTCTTCAATATGTTTTAAGTTACATCTCCACCTTCTGTTAACTAGCTGTGGCTCCATGGGAAACTACCCCTTCTTTGTTCACTCAGACACTGGGGGTGATTTGAATTAGCTCAAATGAAGACAAAAAAAAAGTGTATCGCCTACATTACCCAGCACTGAGAGCTCAGTAATAAAAATCCCTCCCTCCTTCACTCTCATTATTCCTTCTGGACATAAATGTAAGGAAGAGAAAGAAAACAATATGATATTTTTAGGTAGATTGAAAAGCATCCCCGGGTTGGAGTGAGACATGGGGTCTGCTGTCTTCTGCCAAATCACCCCTTATGTCTTCTGTCTGCTTTTCCAGGCAGTGCTTCTGGAGATCCAGGATGCCGTGGCAAAGGCCGGCCAGGTGGTGCGGGAGGCAGTCGGAGGGCTGCAGACTGTGCGCAGTTTTGGGGCCGAGGAGCATGAAGTCTGTCGCTATAAGGAGGCCCTTGAACGATGCCGGCAGCTTTGGTGGCGCCGAGACCTGGAACGGGCTCTCTACCTGCTCTTACGGAGGGTGAGAAGGCTCAGTGGCCATGAGGAAGGGCCTAGGGAAGGGCAGGCAAAGCGTGGGAAGCCTGCGGCTGGCTCTGGGGTCCCTGCTGCTCAGTGTGCTGGGGGCAGGGAGGGGAAAGAATGGGAAGAGTCTGGTTCAGCCTCGCCTTACCACCACCCACCCCCTTCCAGATGGTGCACTTGGGGATGCAGGTGCTGATGCTGAGATGTGGGCTGCAGCAGATCCTTGCCGGGGACCTCACCCGGGGCGGGCTGCTCTCCTTTCTGCTCTTCCAGGAGGACGTGGGCCACTATGTGCATGTGAGTTGGAAGCTGCCCATGCTTTTTTTTTCCTGTTTGTCTCTCTGGCTTCCAAGTCTTGTGCTTTATTGGTTCCCCTTAAAAATAGAAAGCAAAACAAACAAACAAAAATCCCAGTTCACAGTGTTATGAAGAATTTAAAATATAGGCAAAAAACCCAAAAGATAAACTCTAATGTACCCACATGTATCCATCACCTGCTTTAACAGTTATCCATTCATGACCAACCTTGTTTCATCTGTACCCCACCCTCTTCCCCCATCCATATTATTCTGAAGCAAATCCAAGATATAGTTTCACCTGTAAAAATTTCACTATGTATCTCTAAAATATAAACATTAAAAAATAAAATCACAGGGCAGCCAGTTAGCTCAGTTGATTAGAGTGTGTTGCTCTTAACAACAAGATTGCGGGTTCGATCCCCACATGGGCCACTGTGAGCTCCGCCCTCCACAACTAGATTGAAACAACTACTTGACTTGGAGCTGATGGGTCCAGGAAAGACACACTTAATAAATAAATAAATAAATACATAAACAAATAAATAATAAGTAAATAGATAAATAAAACCACAAAGGCAATATTACACCAGGAAAGTTAATAATAATTCCTAAAATTCATCAAATACAGTCAGTGCTCAAATTTCCACTTGTCTGACACATGTAATATAAGTGTGTATATTTATCTCTCTCATCTATGTCTGTGGTGACATCAGCCATTGATGCTCAGTGCCTACATCCATTAACTTAGGAGTTGCAGAAATGGCGACACTACCATGCCTTTATTTATTGGCTGGAAGAGACTTCCCCTCATCTACTATTTGGTTACCCCAGTCATGCAGTTTGATTAGGAAAGGCAGAGTGAGCATTTAGTTCTTTCTCTATATTTACCAGTTTTCAAAAATAATTAGTTACTTCATTTCGGGCTTTATTTTATAATTTCCCAGACATTTGTTAAACTCCTTTTATGTGTGGAGCGCTCGGGTGGCTACTAAGGTCAGGCAGGCACAGTGCCTGCTTTTAAGGCGCTCCCTGTCTAATTAAGCAAGATGGCCCAGTGCACAGGTAACACAAAAAGTCACTGAAAAGCTCTGGGGCTAGAAGTCACGCTGTGTGGGAGGGTATGGATGTCTCCATCCTTTACAATGCAATCAGAACAGTGGGGTATTGGTGCTGCTTTAAAATTCCATCCAAATTGCACATTTAAAGATAGAGAATCCTTTTTGGATGAGGGGAGGAGAAGTGTGGATGGGCTGGGGTGTGGCAGAGGTATGTGGCAGAGGTATGCGACGAGCTGGGAAGCTGGTTTCTGGTGGAGCTGTGTTTGATTAGCTGACCTCTCCACTTCTGTTTTCCAGACCCTGGTGTACATGTATGGGGATATGCTGAGCAACGTGGGTGCAGCTGAGAAGGTTTTCTGCTACCTGGACCGACAGCCAAATCTGCCTCCACCGGGGACACTGGCCCCTCCCACTCTGCAGGGCCGAGTGGAATTCCAGGATGTGTCCTTTGCATATCCCAGTCGCCCTGACCAGCCTGTGCTCAAGGTGCCTGAAAGAGGCCACACTGAGGGAACTGGACCCCTCGCTCCCTGATGCTTCCGTGTGACCAGGCATCAGAGCCTGTACATCATTGGCTTCCGAGAAGCCGATCTTACCTCTGATAGAAAGAGAAGGGGAGGGGTCCTGAGGGAGAAGAGGCAGACCCCTTACCCTTCCCTGGCTTTTCTAGGGGCTGACGTTCACCCTACATCCTGGTCAGATGACGGCACTGGTGGGGCCCAATGGGTCTGGGAAGACCACGGTGGCTGCCCTGCTGCAGAATCTGTACCAGCCCACCGGGGGGAAGCTGCTGCTGGATGGGGAGCCCATCTCCAAATATGAACACGGCTACCTGCACCGACAGGTGTGTGGGGAGGAAGAGGGATGAGAGCTAGGAGGGAAGAAGCACGTGCAGACAGAGCGTGGGAGGTCCGTGGGGAGAAACACAGGCGTCCATTCTGAGAGAGGCAGGCGAGGACGCAAGCAGGACGCCTGCCCGGGGGTTTACACCTGCTCCCATGCCCTCTGCACAGGTGGCTTTGGTCGGGCAGGAGCCTGTGCTGTTCTCGGGTTCTGTGAGGGACAACATCACTTACGGGCTGAAGAGCTGCAGTGACGAAAAGGTGATGGCTGCCGCCCAGGCTGCCAAAGCGGATGAGTTCATAAAAGAAATGGAGCATGGACTGTACACAGGTGCCTTCAGTCAAAAGAGAAACTGGAGCTTATTCTTGGGGGGAAGGGCTGTGTCTCCCTACGTCGATGTTTGCGGTTCTCTTGCCCTTTCCAGCCCCCACTTCCCCTCCTTTCCCAGCACCTTGGGCTGTCCACACCTCCAGCCCACCACCCTCCTTACGCAGGGCCCGCAGACCTCCTGCCTGGTGCTAGTGGGAACCCCAGTTGTGCACTTGTCCCTGCTTGTGGGGGGAGAGGGGGTGTTGATGCGGGCACTTGTGTCTGAGGAAGGTTACTTCTCGGTTTCCTCAGATGTAGGGGAGAAAGGGAACCAGTTGGCTGTGGGACAGAAGCAACGTCTGGCCATTGCTCGGGCCCTTGTGCGGGACCCGCGGGTCCTCATCCTGGATGAAGCCACCAGTGCGCTGGACGTCCAGTGTGAGCAGGCTGTGAGTACGGGGGCGGGAGGGGCAGGCGACAGTGGGACCTGACGGGTCAGGTGTGAAGGATCAGCCTGTGCAGAATCAGGCAGAGGGAGGACAAGGACCCACTCGTGGAAGGAATGTCTGTGCCTTCTTAGCTGTGGGGAATGGAATGGAGAAGATGGCTGTGGGGGCTGTCCCACGGGGGATGCTGATGGCTGCCTTTCCCACCCGCTAGCTGCAACAGTACCGCTGAGAGAAGGGCAGCGCAGCCCTTTACCTTCCGTTCTTTCCTACCCTGTCATGCTTTATGCCTTCTTTACCCGAAACCGCAAGAGATGGTGCCCATTGGGGTGTGGTGTCCGTCCCATTCCTACCTTCCTGAGGCATTGCGATCCCTCCCTTCAGCTGCAGGACTGGCAGTCCCGCGGGGACCGGACGGTGCTGGTGATCGCTCACAGGCTGCAGACGATTCAGAGTGCTGACCAGATCCTGGTGCTCAGGCAGGGGGAGCTGCTGGAGCACGACCAGCTCATGGCAGGGCAGGACCTCTACTCCCGCCTAGTACAGCAGCAGCAGCAGCTGCAGGATTGAGGCCCGCGGACTCTGCGCCCCCTCGTGGGCATCATGACCCGAGCAGCGCCTGCTTGGAGTCTCCCTGGGGCTGTGCCTCTGGTAGTTGTTAGCTGTTCCTGGAGCTGAGGCATGATGGACATTTGGACCACGTGTGCTTTTGCCAGGGCTGGGGATGGGGTGCTGATGAGCCGAGCTTTGCCTGATGGCATAATAAATGTATTTTTATGAAATAAAAATATTTTTTCTTATTATATAAATAGAACACATTCATATAGAAAAGTAAATCTGACCCTTGTTTCACTTTACAGATAACCACGGTTACTATTTTGCTGGTTATCCTGTCAGCCTTTTATCTGTTCTTGATGTACATATTAGGCAATATGACATAAATATTCATGAGGTTGCCGTTCTGTAGCCTTCCCCATTTCCACCAGTGTTTGATATATTGGGGGGAACTAGGGCATGGAGGGGTAGAGCACAGTTCCATAATTTATAGTGTTAATAAAAAATTGATAGTGGCTACCATTTATGGAGTTTTAATATGGGCAGGAACTATGCTAAGTGTTTTCTATATATTATCATTTTTAGTCTTTATTCTCAACCCTGTGAAATTGGTTATTATTATCCACATTTTAGAGATGAGAAAACTTAGTCTCAAAGAGATGAAATAACTTTCCCAAGGCTCTACAGTGGTGGAGTTGGCGTTTGAGTCTGGGGTTAGGCCTGACCCCAGAATCTATACTCCCAACCAACAAGTTATATTGCATTTTATGTTCGTAATCTCTAATTCATAATCAGATCAAGTAAAGCTCTTACTCACTCTGAATAGCTCTGAATCCATTCTCTTTCTAGTTTCATGGTTATAACTTTCATTCAAAGTCTTAGATTATCTCATCTCCAAAGAGGATTCCCTGTTGTTGGTTTACCTCTTCCAGCCATTCTTCATGAAGTCATTTTTCTTTCTAGAAGGCACAGAGAATGATGTCACTTCTGTAAAGCCCTTCAAGTGCTCTTCATCCCTTTCTGCTCAGATCTTTCTCAGCGCACACAAGGTTTTCCACCCTGTTCGTCTGGCCCACCTCTGTTGCTGCAGACACAACAAACGTCCTGCCCTCCTAATACCTTTCTGCCTTTGCATGTGGTTTCCTTGCCATTCCCTGCAATACCCTTCCCCAATTAACCCCAAGTTCTTCAAGACTTAACTCAGGGTTTAGGTCTTCCAGGAAGCCTTCCCTTATCTCCTCCGGCTGGAGGAAGTGCCCTTTCCATGTGTTCCGCGGGTGCAGCTCTTTCTCAGCCTTTATTAAACTCTTTAAC